AAGAGTTAGCAATAATTAATTTAGGAAATACGATAAAAAAAATAAAGTAAAATCAAAGGGTTACCTCTGTAAATATCCTTATATATCCTGTATTATATCCAAGAACAACAAATATTTGACTAGATTATTATAGATTAAAGTGAAAATTCATTAATGGAGTTAAAATTACGAAATCAAACATAGAATATTATTAAACTATTAATAGTACCCATTATTGGATGACGGCATAAAAAATGGTAAACACAATACAGCCGTTATCCTTTCCCCTTCTTGAAAACAACCGTTTCCCTGGCCAACAACTTGGAATTCCTTTTTTGTCTCATCTAACGCCAATATCACAAAATAATTTTGAGATGCCCAAACAAGATGTTTACCAGTATCTGATGTAGAGAATAGATATTTATTGTTTTGGTGGTATGAAGGTTGAGACTATATATTCAGAAAATTTGAATAAAAAAAAAATCGACTTTTTTCTTGCATAAAAAGTGTTAAATTGGGCTATAAAACAGGTAGATTGACATTTTAAAACCTTAGCCTTCATAGTATATATCTTGAAAATTTTGAAGTTATTTTGATCAAAAGAAAGATTAGGATCTAGGTTTCTTTAATGATTAAATCATCAAAATAACTTCAAAATTCATTGAGATATGAAAGTTAAGGCAATAATTTCTAAAATGTCGATCCGCCTGTTTCTATTGACAGTATCCCAATTATTCAATTAATCATAGCCAACCTCTGATTCCGAGCTCCATCCCCAAGTTTCACTGTGCATACTCGAAAATTGTTCTAAATCATTAAGCATTAATAATTTTATTAGATCCATTATAAATTTGAAATAAATTACGAAAGTATGTTTCATACCACCAATTTCTTCAATACTTCTAGATGCTGATGCAGCAAGGGTAGCTAGAACATTATGAGAAATTCTTCCGTGCAGTAACAGTTGTGGTTGTTTCCTTGGAACTGTCTTCATATCCCAACTTTATCTACTGAAATAAAAATTGAATTATTTATATATCATATATTGGCAATATCTTTATTATATACAACAATTATGTCAATTCGCTATCTGTCCATTTATCGTTATTATAAAATCACTAACCAATAAAAATTCGAAAATTTGTACTACTGTAGGTACGTATGTACGAGATTGCATCATACAAATTTTTTATAACGGATCTTAATTTATTTAATTTATTTGATATTTCGCTCACTCCGAGCAGTACTTCAACAGTACTTCGACAGTGGCTTGGCGAATTTACATAGATTTATTAGCGGAACTAGTACCAAAGGTGCTATGAAAAAGCCAACCGCACTTCAACGTGGCTTACCAAAATTTACTTATTACGTACGTACGTACGTACAATTTTTTAAAATCGAACACGTGATTTGTGAAACTTCTCTGTAAGTTAATTCTCACGGTCGGTCGATTTTTTATTAGGTAACGTTAATATTACGCGTAAGAATTTCATATACGTATTATTACAATAGTCAGTAAATTTTTCAACAAAATTTTTTACTTAAATCTTACGGCTGTAATTTCAATGCAACCATAATTGTTAGTAAATTTGTAAAAAAAAATTTTTTTATACAGCAAATCAGAATTTATAACTCAACTGTAATCACATACTTTTATGACATCAAACTTCATATACAGTAAAATCATAATTTGTAGAAGACAAATTTTTTACAATAAATCATGAGACTGTAATTAACAAAATTTTTTTACAATAAGTTATGATCATAATTAGTGCTCCGAAAGGGTCATTCGGGTCGGGTTTTAGTTTGAACCCGTATTTGTTCGAACAAACTCGGGTTTGAAAATCTCCGCTCGTGTATTATTAAAATTATCCGGTTCAGGGACGATGATTTTCTGCGGCAATTAAACCAAAATTCTGTCGTCATTAATTCGCAATTTCTGTGATTATTCTG